AATACTCATGCTTAACATTTTTAATCTGCAAATAGAATTAGGAAGAGCAAATGGATTGGGGTTTGCCTTTTCAAGGTAGTCTTTTTAATGCTCTGCTCTTATTCACTGAAACATAAGCTGCGATCAATAGAAGCACTTCAATAAGATGTCAGTGTTTTAATTTTGAAGGAGTTGGAAATGTATCCTGTTATGAAATATATTACTTTGCATTTCAGGTTAGGTGACCAGCCACATCTATAGGGAGGAAAGCAACTGGGGATGGATAAGGGGGCACTTAGGATACGCCTAATACTGTATGAAAAAAATTCTCTAAAACACTTTTAAATGCATCCTTGCCTGGACTTCACAGAATAATATAAGACTTAGCACCCATCTGTCTGCTGTTTCTTTTACATGCACTTTTGGTCCAGAAGATCCACCCAAGCGGTTTTCCAAAAATGAGAACCACCCTGTAATGCTTCAAATCCATTGGTCTTTAAAAACACACGGTAGTGTGTTATCTGCAAGCCACATGCAAAAATATTTATATTTGCTGCCTTTCATTCCCTGCTTGTGCTAACTCTCTCCCTCTCTTTTGACAGAATGCTCTCTTACGCTGACTGCAAAGTCTGGTCTCCTCAGAGTTCAACTGTCCAATTGAAAGATCCTAAGTGAGACAGAGAGTATTCTCAGCCTAGTCCCAGCCTCCCACTCACTAATTGGAGGCCATTTCCCATTTTGTGGAGCCTTGATGCTCCCCCATGGAGAACTCAGGACTGTGGGTTCCCGTCTTCGACTGTGGTGACAGCAGGAGAGTAAACAGAGCTGATAGAATTTGACAGGTCTATTCTTTTCTTAAAATCATTCAGTCTAAAAGATTTTCTTTTACATAATCCAAAGTGTTTTCTCATGAAGTAGGACAAATACTGCTCTGCATTTTGCAGCGCAGTTCAGAATTTATGCATTTTTTATCAGAAGTTTCCACTTGTAAATGAGGTCGTGTAACTCAGAAAGTACATTTAAAGAAAATCACAAAAGTGTTAAAAACTTTCAACGTTCACGAGGCGAGATCTGTTAGTTCAAAACAGCAGACTAAAAGGACTTTTAAACCTACCTGATGAGCAAATAAACTTGGACTCTCTTTGCATTGTCTACTAAAAGTAAAACAAACCCTACTTTCCATCAAAAAGAATGGTTTTCTTTTCTGTTGCTATTAATTAAAGAATTATTCTTCCCACAAAAAGGGTCTTTGTTAGGGTGATATAATCTTCAGGAGGATAATACAGATTTATAATTAAGCATCCAGAGGTCACCCACACCCTTAATTAAAAACTGAATAATTTCTTTACAAATATTTACATTGCCAACAAAGTGTCTAGTGCAAACAGTGCTTTAATAAACAGCAAAACAGAGTTCCACAAACCTTTCTCCATACCAGCTTCCCAGAGAATAAGAGATCACTTGTTGAGCTGTGAGAGACTGCAGTGCAATGTTTTCATTTTGAATAGAGAGAGGCTAGTAGAAGAATACCTGCGGCTGCCTGGGTTTGCCCAAGGAAACGTGTGAAAATACCCACAAGCTGGGAAGGAGTCGACGGTCACCCCTTTCTCATTTTGAAACAAAAAGAAAAGCCCCTCTTTACTTTGCTGAGCTCATTCACATCCTGCTATCATGTTATTTCGTTGGAACTTTTGCATCATGTGATAAGATGTATCCAAATTTAACCCAATGCACAATAATTCATGTATAACTAACCCACAGCTTCCAAGAAAAAAAAAAAAAACTTTAAAAAAAAAATGATGAGTGGCTACACATTGGGTATGGGCAAAGGGATGCCCACTAATCACAGGCTGTTGGCAAAATAAGTTTGATCCTGTTCATATTATAAGTTGTTTGGCATCTCTGTTTTTGGAAACTAAGTATTTGCTTTAATTAGACCGTTCCCAAAAGCTAATTGAGTGTGACTTGTGGTTTTCCTGACTGCTTCATTTCTATCCAAAATGCTCTCTGAAAGGGAGCTTCTGAATAATTGCTATTTTACAGTAACCTCCTAATCTGGTAAAACACATGAACGGAGTTCATACCTGCAGTTTCCACCAGCCTTTGAAGTTATTTTTATCAGTTTTGAGTGACTATCAAAATACTTTAAATCAGGGCATTTCTGAATAAATAGCATGCTGCAGCCAGTTATCAAATAGCTAATCCAAGTTAGAGAGAAGGTACAAACTCAATAAACAGCTTTTCAAATGGAGTTTCTGGTGTGTCTGATTTCACCCGGGATGTACAGAACTTTGCTTAACAGGGTAATGCGCGTCCAATACATCTTTACAAACTGATCAGTTCCTCACCTGTATTCCTGTGGTGACGGGTGATGATTATGCCCTGAATTTCTAAGGATTCCTGACATTATGGATGTGATGTCACTTTCTATCATCTCCTTTAGGGAAGACAAAAAGAAGTGGGGGGGATCATATAGGTATGAAGTAGCTATCCAGCATTTCAGCAGTAAGAAAGAAAAAGCACAAAATTCTAAATTTTAAAAACCCAGAACATACATCACAATTCAAGCTATACATTCTCCCCCCCCGCCTCTCTCCCCACAGGTTTTTAAGAGTAGCATTTTATTTAGAGGATCAAATTGATTTACACCTCCTAAGTGTTCTGCAAAGACAAATATAATCTTCACCATGATTAATACATTATTGAACTCATAAACAGGAGGGACAGCAAAAATACATTCTGGGCAGGTTGCATTAAAAAAAAAAATCCTCTCTGTGTGAGCTGAATAGTAATTAAATTTGGGAGGGGGGAAGGAGTCAGTTGTACATTAGTTTTTACTACAGTAAACACCATCATCTGACCTGACTCCATTTAAAAAGTAGGAAAACTAAACTAAAACCAGCAAGGGGATTAGGCAGGATAAACTAAGATTAGCAATGGGACTGGGGGAAACTAAACTCAGAGCAGCAGTGGGTTGCTAGAGCCAAACTAAAACCAGCCGTGGGACTGGAGAAATTACACTAAGGGCATGTCTACACATTCATTAATGCGCAGTAGTTACTACACATTTAGTACACCACTTGCTTAATGAAGTACTAACTAAATGTGCAGTAACTACATAATTGCGCAGTAGTGCTGGCGCAGTTTTTTAGTGACGCTTACTGTGTAATGGCCTAATACTACTGCACAGTAGTGCATTTGCACGGTTTTTGCCCAGCACACGAGTGCGCCGTGTTGTTAGGCTACTGCGCATTAAGTGTCTCATGTAAACGCACACTAAGAGTGCAGCAGGATTAGGAAAACTCCATTAAATCCAGGCATGGGACTGGGGAAACTACATTAAACCCAGCAACCGGATTGGGAAAAACTAAACTGAAAGCAGCAATGGGTTGGGAGAGCTAAAATCAGAGCAGTAGTGGGATTGGGGGGAACTGCATTAAACCCGCCAACAGGAAACGGCATTAAATCTGGCAAGGGGATTAGGGAAACGGCATTAAATCTGGCAAGGGGATTAGGGAAGCTGCACTACAACCGGCAGTGGGATTGGGGGGAAACTGCACTGAACCTGGCAGTGGGATTGGGGAAGTGACTCTAAAAGCAGTGGGATTAGGAAAACCTCTACTAAACCAGCAGTGGGATTGGGAGAAACTGCATTCAACTGGCAACGGGACTGGGGGAAACTGCACTGACCCCGGCACCGGGAAACGACGTTAAATCTGGCAGTGGGAGCGGGGAAACTGCAGGAAAACCCGGCAGTGGGACGGGGGAAGCGGCTGTAAGAGCAGCGGGGCGAGGAGAGCGGCGCGACAGCAGCAGCGGGGCTGCGGGACACACCGGGAGACGGGCCGGGGCCCCGGCGCTGACGGGGCGAGGGCGCGCGCGAGGGCGGGCCGGGGGCGGCAAACCTGGCGGCGGGTCC